CAGCTGTGTTTACCTTGAAATTTTGGTTTTCAATAATATTTGGGTTTGGTTTCTCTCTGTCCGTGTGTCTGTGCTTGGGATTGTGTGTGTGTGTTTATGCGCGCATATGTACATATGTCTGCGTGTCTGTATGTCCTTTGCAAAAATAGCAAATGCATAAATGTGTGGCCACGCAGGGCAAAAGGGAAATGGTAGTCCGGAGAAAGCAAAAGAAGGCACGGTTGTTGGTGGATGTGTGAGTGTGGGGGGAGATCGGTGAAAGTTCAGCGGTGTTAGCGTTATCTGTGCAGCGACAGCCATATTTACCTGCCAAGCAAAAGGATACAAGAAAAAAATAGAAAAGGATACACCCACATATGTGTATGCACGTACGTGTATGATAGCTACTTGAGTTCAACGGTGGAATTTCTTGCATTTCCTTTAGTTGTGTGTTTTCCTGTATTTCGAGAGGATTTTCAACCCAAAATGCACCTTTTACCCGTAAAACCTAGAAACGAACTAGAAATGCTCTACTTTGTGGAAAAGATTATATTGAAGTTAGTTAATGAAGCTTTACCTTATTGGGTTTCCGGGGAATATGATCTTCTCAAACCACGATGTCCTTTCCATCAGTGACTTTTGCTTTCAGCTTAAGGCACTTTTAGGTCCTCTTCCCCACCCATCCCTCCCCACAAAAAAAGAAACCAGATCCTGTACCCTTTCGGCTCCTTTTCGTGGCTTATCAGAGGACGTGTCCATTAGCCAAGCCTGTTGGCTGTTTGGCTGCATTTGCCGCTTCCTGTCAAAATGCCACATTAGCTGAAGCTCTGACTGCGATTCGAATCTGGGTTTCTGTCGATCTGCATAGTCTACCCTCTCCGGGTCTACACTGAAAGAAATTACTATGAAATTTAAAGAGATAGAGACTGACTATTTTTGTTAGTTTATTAAATTATCTGTTGCCAAATTTAATAATTTAATATTTATAGTCAGAGTTCATATATGAAACATTTTAATGGGTAGCCTTGCTCAGACATGCATTCCATGTTTTCCAAAAAAAACTAAATATTTCCCTTTTGATGAGTTATTTTTCCAGTATTATTTTTTTTTAGGGTGCAAGTTTTTCCCCAAAAAATAACCCCTAGCCCCCTCTAGAGCTTGGGTGTGTGTGCGTGTCTGTTTTTAGCTATTTTTATACGATTTTCTATTTTTTCCGGATTTTTGTTTGCCATTGTTGCAGCCCCCCGTCCGCCCTCTTCTGATATAACCGAGAATTCTACCTTCTTTTTTGCCTTTTGGTTTTTCGCATAAAACTGACGCCAAATTTCTTTGGCGTCAAGCAAGGCACAGTGCTCACACACACACTCATAGACGTCACCCACACACACACTCTCTCCTAGACATCACCAACACAATGAAAACCCGCAAAAAAAAAGAAAATTGTTGGTTTAGTTGGTGGCTCTGACTTTTCGCGTTGTGTCTCTTGCTTTTTTTCACAGTTCGATTTTCCAGGTTGTGGGTGTTCTGTATGTTTGTATGCAGAGTAAAAAAATATCAAAAAATAATAAATGCGTTGCCCCATATGTAAGGATATATCCTAGTGAGTGTGCATGTGTGTGAACAGTTTGTCAGTTTCAGTGGGAACTTCCTTGCCATTCGCCACCCCTTTTGCCACCTGCGTGGCAACAAAAGTTTTGCCTTCATGCATATTGGTAATTTATTAGCATAAAATGCCAGGAACCCGTAAATAATGCACAAACATTTTGTTGTTTTCCCAACATTTAGCTAACATTTTGCTAACCTCCAGGCAGCCAGGCACTCGCCATATCCATTTGAATGCAACTTTCTATATATAGTATAGTATAGTATAGTACTTTTATATATTTGTGCACTTGTCCATTGGATAGATTTTATTGGTTCTGCTGGCTTGCCACTGAGCATAAAATTCATTTCCGCCGCATTTCTACGTCGCTCACTTGTCACAGGAGCAGGACATCGGTGGCAATGGTGCCAGGACCTCCTGAGGTAGGACCTCTGTGGAAAGGCAAGCATTGCTGCGTGTCTTTTGCTTCTCCGCATTTTTACTCGAACTTCATTACATTCGCAACTGAAAGCCATCCTCCTTCTACACCACTATTGGACTCCTGGAAATGTGGAGTTCAATATTTCCGTTAAAAGTGCCACAGTTTCTTCGACTCCTAGTTGAAGTCTCCTTCCGGGTCGGGGTCTCCATTTTGGTCTCCGGGTTCGGGCCGAGTGATTTCCTCTCGCCATTGACACATTTGACACATGACAAGTTTGTTTTTTTGGCTAAAATTTGTTATGGCACTAGAAGGTATTCCCTGAATTCCTGCATTTGAATTTTTTTTACTTAAATCTGCTTAAATTTTGTCTGAGAAAAATCAAGACACAGGAGTTTGATTTAATAAACTTTAAAGAAAGATTTCAAGATTGTCCTGTTGTATGGATATTTTCCTGTTCACAAAAATACAATGTTACATATTTTTTAAGATCAAAAAGATAGAACATGTTTCGCTTTTATATTCGGCAGCAAAAAAACAAAATGCGAAAACTTGATTAAATTTCATTTGGGCTTAGCAACATGGCCATGTATAACATGTATATTTTGGGACTAAAAATGTGTGTTTGTTTACAAGCTTGCCAGCCCATAAATACAATGGCTTAAATTATAGAACATGAGCTTAAATTAAAAGTGCAGACTAACATAATGCTATCTGTTCAAACATTTCTTTTTTTTTTGCATCACAATGCAGATGGAAAATGCATATGGGAGATGCTTTAGAAATTCCGTCATAAATTGGACCACAAGTTATTCATTAGATGGCCCAAAGACATTTGCCATGATGAGGCAGGCATGAGGACATCAGGACTGGCAGGAGTCGCAGCCGAAAAGGACGTGGCCGAAAAGAAAAAATCCTAACAAATTCAGCGACCCAATTCCAGAGGCGAATTTGTTGTTTGTTAATCACACAAAATGGTTGAGAGCCGAAGGAGACAACGGCGCGATGACGGCGACGACCTTAATTTGGTGGCTCGTTGTACCTTTTGGCCATAAATAATTAGCCATTTGTCTGTGGCATACTTAACAGGCCATTTGGATGCACCGAAAAAAGGGGGTTTCCCCCTGTGTACAGAGAGGGGGGGGAGGTCTATAACACATAGCCTACTTAATGGCGCCAAATGTTCGTTAAATGTTTCGTCGTTGCGGTATGCGAATTGTTTTAATTGAAATGAAAACGCGTAAATTCAAGTGAAATGGTTATGTGCCCATGTTGTATTTGCAAGTGTGTTTGTTTTTCTATTTGCATTCAATTTCACTTTGCAACAAACACACAGACAAACGGCACAAACAACACAAAACAGGCAAATTGCAATGGACACTGAAAATGGACAAAGAGCCAAAAAAGGACCAAAAAGGGTTAGGTTGGGGTAAGGCGGGTGTGGCAACTAGCAAAGTGTTTATTAACTTTGGCTGTTTGATCCACTTTGCCAGGCAGTTACCCCACCCATCCTGCTGATCCTTCTCCTTGCTCCAAGGATGTTTGCCATGTGGTGGCAGTGAGGCAGTGATGGTGTTGTTGCTGGTGGCATGGTGGCAGTCACACACAAAAAGTGCCTGCATACAAACGCACGCAAATGAACGAGGCAACGAGTGAATGAATGAATGCACCAAAGGGGGACTCCACCGTACCATCCCCACTCACACTTACCCAGATAGAGAGAGAGAGGGAGCGGATAATTCAAATGTAATTTACAAAAGCACTCGTTTGATTTGTTACTTGTGCCATTCTACCCAGTATCCTTGCCACCGCCGCCGTCAGCATCCTTTCCAGCTATATCTGCATCTGGCTGGGTATTAAGCGAGGCAGGGTGGTGCCTGCTGGCTGGTGGCTCAGTAAATTAGTTGGTCCTGGCTTTTGGCTAAAGGCTGCAACCGAACCAAAAGAAAGGGGCGCGCATTGGCTAACAAGCACAAAACCGAAAGACCAAACTCAACAAACAAAACAGCACACAAAATACAAAAAAAGGCAATAAAAAACCAAGGCACAGCTCCTTTTGGCTGATGAAATTCGTATACCCTTAGGGATTACGTTGGTAATTGTTAAACATTGTTTAGATAAGAAAAGGGATAACACACAAAAGGAAAATCTGGCAAAACGAATCGCCAGTTACATAAATTCCAATATCAAAACTTAAACTCCATTTAAATGGGTTTTTTTGTTTCATAAGAAGGATACCCAACTGTAGGATAAGTGTAAAATAACTCTTCCTTGCATTCGTTTCATTCATTCAGTGAAAATACCAGAAGAAAGTCCCTCTTTGGTCTCCTATTATTTGAATTGAATTATCTAACTAATTGGATCGGGTCGGCCAACACCGAAAGTCAACTAATTAGGCACCCACAAATTATAACAACATTTATGCCAGATATATTCATGGAGATACCGAGTAGTAGTACACTACCAAGTCAAATCCCAGACAGAGCCGACACGCTCCTCTTTAATTGCCAACCAGATTAAATTAATGCAAAGACAAATGGATATAGTATATCAATAGACAGTTTATGTTGTGGCAGTGCCGGCAGTTGGGACATCGTGCCTCCAGGGTGCAAGTTCACGGATCAGACTAAAGTTTGTTAAACCTTTTTGGCCAAAGGACACGTACCACAAATTAACTAAATGAATGGAATTTATTTTGGTGAATGAAAGCGAAATGAGAGATAACTACACTCGTCCTCCTTGGACACGTATGTATAAAAGGTCCTGATTGATGCGACTGGGAATAAATTAAATCCTGGCTAGTAAAGAAAAAAAATAGACAATTAATATGTGTTTTTTTTTCGAAGGTCTTATTAATCGGAAAGCTTAAGCTCATTAGGGGTAATTACTAAAAAAAATAGTTTTCAAATTAGTTTTGAACTCATACCTTAATCATTAATGAAAGTATAAATAGGAAAGCTTACTTTTTATTTTTCAAGATTAAAACAAAAACACTGCAGATATTGTATATACAAATTGTTTTTATTTTATTTTTTAGGTGTTTTAAAAACTTTTGAATCTTTTCTTAAACTGGAAGTGGTATTATAATTTCCTTTGGGATAAGACTTTCCCAATCCAGTTCGAGCTCGTGTTCTTGTGGCAACTACGCCATCATCATATCGACATATAAAAAACTTTGCGTTATTACAAACATCATCATTTAATCTGTGACTACCTGACACAGTTCTTCGGTAACCAATTTCATCGCAATGTTCTTCTCCATTTTGGTTATTATTTGGTTCTCCACTAAACCATATATTCATGGTTATGGGTTTGCCAGTTGAAATCCAGTAGTGTTTCTTTTTCAAGAATGCCAAATCAGTGCCGGATGTCCAATAGAAATCATCAATATCGTGATCCCACAGATACAAATCCAGGTCACGCCATTCCTTGTGGGTATTGAAATGTATTAGATACGCTCCTTTTACGCGACAAGTTTGATAGGCGTCGAACCAGTTTCTTTTTATTTTTCTTTCAATGTAAACAGACATCTTGCCGATCTTTTCAATGTCCTTGTTTGGAGGTTTTGTTGCAATGGTGGTTTGTGTCGGCTTCGGTGTCGTAGGTGGATTTGGATTTTCTGAGGATTCGGGGCCACCCGTGGTGCCGTCGGACATAATATCGTCTACTTTTGATAGTGAAATTATTACTCCAACTACGACCGCGAGTCTGAAGTATTTGGTCGACATTTTGCTTATATATTTGATGTGGCTCATTTCGAGAAAGAGGGTTGGTTTATATTTGTGTCTATGACAAGCGTAACTCTCCGTACATAATCAACTTAATCAACCTTGAAATACAATTTTTTAGCCCCCTTAATTTGAGACCAAGTATTTACCAGTGATCTTTCGTGCTCACTGGTGATATAGTGGAAGGCAGTCCGAGAAGGTGACGAATCTTTGGTACCTCCTTCTTCTATACCTCCTTTCACCTACAGTCGCATATTTTAAAAAAAAACTTACCACCTCCTTTACATTGAGTATTTTGTATTATTATTTATCTTGGAATAAAATTAATAGGGTCGCTTTTTAAAATCATTTTTTATTTATTTGGTAATTGAAAACTCAACATTTAACATAAATGGTAATTTAATAACGTGCTTTGCATATAAATCTTCTGTTAGAGTCACAATTTTTGTCGTTTAATTTGTGACTATTTGTTACATTCCTTCTCCAACCCATTTCGTCACATCGTTCAATCCCTCCATCATTATTGGGTTCTCCTGGACTCCAAATATCAAGTACTATTGGCTTGCCTGTTGAGAACCAAATATGGTAGCCCTGTTTGCCCAGGTCGGTGCCGGAGGTCCAATAGACATCATCCAAGTTGTTGTTCCAAAGATATTCATCAACTAAACGCCACTCCGTATATGATTCGAAATCTAAAAGATCAGCGTCTAGCAGGCGACAAGCTTGAAAGGCTTCGAACCAGTTATTTTCCACTTTGTTCTCAATATAATAACTTCGATTTCCGATCTTAACAAAAGTTACTGCATTGACCAGGGAAAACACTCCCACAACGGTCAGAAGACAAAACCACGAAAGAAACATTTTACGAATCTGTTTTAAAAACTCCAGATATTTGATTTAATATACCCTTTGATTAGGAAGTGAATTGTTAAAGCACATTGTTAATATTCTATGATAAGATACGACTAGAGTATTTTCTGAGAAAATTAATAATGGAGTTCACAAATAAAGAAAGGTTTTTAAACGTTGTCATTGAAGTGCAATTACCCATTAAGATAAGACCGCCGTTGTCAAATTAATCATATTGATATTTATTTATTATTAATAATACTTTGTGGTTAGAGCCTCTTAAAGTTCTACATTTTGTAACAATACTAAGTTAGGTAAGTTTAGGGTGTGACTGCTGTTGGGTTTTAAGCACTGGTTTTTAAACATTGGTTCACTACACAGGTCTTCGTTAAAAGCTCGCCACATGGTATGATCCTTGACCTCTCTATGGTCACATTGACAGAGAATTTATCTTTATATATGTAAATGGCCGCAGGCTACATTGTTTTACCATGAAATTTTAAGATTTCGAAGGGGATCCACCTAAAAATTTGACAATCTGAACATTTTCGTTTTTAGACGCTGGTTGACAGATAATTGATAGTTTATTGTATTCCGCTTGAGATTTCTATTCATAATTTACAATATAACTGCTATTAGGAGTATATATGGTACATTAAATATTTTGACTTCTTCTTTGCCTTTAAAATATTTTCCAGAGACAAGAAATATTCATCAGAATAACATTAGAAAGTCGTAAATCTTAAAAATGAGCAAAATTTAAGATACACGAAAGATAAAAACAAGTTTTACCTTAAGCGTTTTTCAAACTGTGATAATGTTGTAGTCATTAGCTAACAAAAATATAAAAGCAAACTGCTTTAAATATTTACCTTAGTCTAGTAGGAATGTTTCTGAAAATTAAATTGGTTTTTATATTGATCTGGAGATGTGTTTTGCTTTTAAAGAGTGAAGAAATTACAAATGAAATCGTAGGGGGTATGACTCGGAATCAATTATTCATTCATTTAATTATTCAATCATAATTTCTTAAAGTAGAAAAGGCAGGAGTTTTAAGTCTACACAATGCTCCTTTTGTAAAAATCGGAAATGGTCACTACTTCTTTGTGTCGAATATCGAAACCAACTGGTTCGATGCCTATGAGTATTGCAGAAGTATGGATACACATTTGATAACTTTTGAGACCATGGAAGAGTGGAATTTAATCAGTGACTATATGAAGGATAAAGAAATGATCGACTTCTATTGGACGTCTGGAACGGATTTGGCAAATTATGGAACACATACATGGTTTTCCAACGGAAAACCAATAACGTTGAATATTTGGCGTATAGGGGAACCAAATAATTATGGCGGCAACGAACATTGTGACTCTTTTTATATATTTCCCGTAACACAACACAGTGCATTGAATGATGAACAGTGTGTGACCTCGAGAAGGTTCATCTGTGAGGTTCCCACATCTTTATCAACTCCGTACTGTAATTTTTTGTGTGCCGTACATCAGAAATAAAATGATACATTAATAGATTCCGGATTCTTTCCAATAGGCCAATAATGATAAAGTCAACAAAAAATGCCGGATGTTATAGGAAATATATTCAACGCTGCCGGATACAATTTTCCACAACATCCTTATCTTAAGAATCGGATCAGGATTGAGGAAGATAGAGCTATCACTATGGGCCATGTAGGGGAAAACCCCATTTTTTCGGACGAAATTGGACGAAAAATCTAAAAAATATTTCGTCTCAGGATTTTGATGCAGAATGGTGGGGAATCGATCCAGAAATCGTTTAAGGTACTCCGCTTGAGAATCGGATGAGAATTGAGGAAGATATGGGCATCACTGTGGGCCCTATAGGGGAAAACCCCATTTTCAAGGGGTCCCATCACGAAAAATGGACAAAAAATCTAAAAAATATTTTGTCTCAGGATTTTGATGCAGAATGGTGGAGAATCGATCCTGAAATCGTTTAAGGTACTCCGCTTGAGAATCGGATGAGAATTGGGGAAGATATAGCCATCACTGTGGGCCATATAGGGAACAACTAAATAAATCCCTTATATACCCGAAACTAAAGCTGTTTGTAAAAGCGAAACCGTTTTGCCTTTGAAGTAGGTTAAAAAAAATGTAAATATGAGAAAGTATATATTAGCAGCCAATAAGAGATGGTAGAAAAGGTTGTGGTCATACTCCTGGTCTTCTATTTGGGATGGCCAACGCAATCGCTGCCCCGCAGTTTAATTCTTCAGGAATTACGAGGTAAACAAGTTTTTGCCATAGATTTGAAATAAATTGGCTTTTTTTAAGAAATACCAAGGCAATTGAATGTCAAAATCGAATCATTCCAAAGATCTGGTAATGGATGGTATTTTGTGGAGACGATGAAAAAAACCAGCTGGTTTGGAGCGTATGAGGAGTGTCGTCGACGGGGCTCTACTTTAATATCATTTAATATTCCCGACAAGTGGAATGAAACAATGAAATTTTTGGACAAGAAAACAAAAAGCTTGAATGCCAACTTTTGGACATCGGGAAGCTCAAATGGACATCCTGGGAATTTCAGTTGGTTCGGCACAGGAAGAAAAATTAATATAAGTAAATGGCTGCCACATGGAATAATGAATACGACAAATGAATCAAATTGTGTCGAACTGCAAATTAAAAATGAGAATAAAGGATTAAGAGCAGCGCCTTGCCTTAAGCTCAATGGATACATCTGCGAGGTTAACCGACCAAGAGGATTTCTGATCATGACTTGGTAAAAAATAAATTTAAATATATTTTTAAATTAAAGCTTATTAAATCGATTAATACCGGTATAATTGCCACATTTTATATAAAACAATCTAATTTTTTTCTCAACCAAGTAGTTGACAAAATGATGGAGAAACTATTTGGAATTTTTCTCGTCTGCTTTATTGGAGCAATAACTCCATTCGGAGCTCTTCGAGTTCTAACAGATGTAGCAAATGGTAGACATATCATTCTATTTATATGAATGTTTAATTTTGTGTTTTTTTTTTATAGGAGTATCGGATAGTTTTAAGCTAGATACCACACCTTTTATTAAACTTCCAACCGGCTACTATCACTTTGAGTTCGACAAGACAACTAACTGGTTTAAAGCCTTCGAAGCCTGTCGGAGAATAAATGGTCATTTGGTTTCTTTCGAGACAAAGGACGAATTGGAGGCCGTCGTTAGATATATCAGGAAAACCACTTACACTAACCACTTTTGGACTTCTGGTACCGATTACGCCAAGAAGGGTCACTATGTCTGGTTTGCCACCGGAAAGAAAATCGATCTCGACATCTGGTGGCCAGATGAACCCAATAATTTCAATGATACGGAACACTGTGCCGAGCTGAGTATAAATGCCAAGTCTAAGCAGGTGAAGGGTATAAATGACGTAGGATGTTTACTTTCCCGATCGTACGTCTGCGAAGCTGAGGAAGGAACTACTGCTTCCGTTGTAGTTTGGTAGGTTTTGTTCATCTTTAAATGGTATATTGATTTGATACATATTTTGATACTTCTTATTGAATAAATATAAATATAAACACATAGTTTTTCAGTTGAATTTTGGGCTAGAGCCAAGCCAAGAATATTTAAAAAAGCTTGCCAAGAATATTTAAAAAAGCTTGAAGCTTTTTTTATCTTTCCGAAAAAGATAATTTTTATCAGCTATAATGAGAAATGAGATTATGAATTTAATCCGCAAAAAAAACACTTTTGTTTTATTTTTTTTATTTATTTAACTAATATTAAACTAATTAAAAGTCGTCAAAGGGAATGTGTTTCGGACCAGATCTTGTTTTGGACAAAAGGCATTTATTTGCAAACTTCGTAGCCCGAAGACATATTACGTATGTTTTATTAACACGTAAATCTTAAAATAAAATGGAATATAATAATATTTGAATATTTTTTTTTGACAATTGGAACCAACCAGTTAGACAGAAGACAATACACTTGATATCTGTAAGCGACTTATTAGTGTCTCAAGTACCTTTCAAATCATTGTTAGTTGATAACAAATATAAGTGCTTCCGATTTCCGAAATTGCCTTTGTTTTGTCGCTAAAAATTAAACCAACAACAAGTGGGGACTCTTGTTGTTCCACTTTTGATATAACAAATATTAAAAATAATTAAAGGTAAATATGGTGTTATAACTGGTAAGGTATCATTGGAGATGGTATAAAAGTTAGAAAGCCGGTGACTTTAACTGCAGTTTGAAAAATGTCTTTGAAAGTTCTTGTTATCTTTGCCGCATTGGTACTGGTCTGTGCCGCTCAAAGCTATAATATTAATCCCTATATACAAAATGGTAAGTATTCCAAATAAAATATTTATACGATTAAAATAATTTTTTTTTTTAAATATAGGGATTCCTGAATCGTGGCATATAAATACCTCTCCATTTATAAAGATCGGCGAAGGATATTACTATATAGATACTAGAACCGCCAAGAACTGGTTCGATGCTTTTGAATCGTGTCGTCGACTCGGCGCCAATCTTATCTCTTTTGAAACCCTGAAGGAGTGGGACCTAATCAATCAATATTTGTGGAATCACGGTTTAAATCATATATACTGGACCTCGGGGGCAGATTTGGCGCATCAGGGCAAACATCACTGGTTTGCAAATGGAGAAGCAATAAGCCTGAATATTTGGTATCCTGGGGAACCAAATAACCAAAATGGAAATGAACATTGCGATGAATTGGGGGACAGGCGTACTGAATCCAATTATAATGTATTAAATGATAGACCCTGCAGTTACGAAAGGTATTACATTTGTGAAACAAACCAGCCAAAAACAGCTTCGTTTGTTATTTGGTAATATTATTTATAAAATACACACAATGTAAATATACCCATTTTGAAATAAATAAATTTAACAAGATTTAGACTCAAACAATATTAACAAAGTGATTGGATTCCAATAAGAGCTTTAAAAGTAGCTTACATGAATTACCTATTGGGACTGCCATGATCCTTTTTTTTGGAACTTCGTAGGATCTCTTATTGAGTACCTGGTGGAGTATTATCTCGTACATACGTATGACTTTAAAGGTCCATTGAATGAAAAAAGGAAAAGGTTTTTCATTTGTTAAAATACATCTTAATAGGACTCACTCAATGGCGTTTAATACTTTTAATAATTGGCTTATTTAATGAGGGAATAAAACTAAGTTTATATTCATAACTTACATAGACTGAAAAATTTGAAAACCAATTACGAAAACTTGTGCAAAATATTTTTCAAATAACAAGCATACCAAAAATTTCAGAAATATTAATACAACCATTTACTGAGTTAATCAAAGAGATATTTTTTTGCGACTTATTAGTCTCTATGTCACTCCCCTCTTATATCATTTTCAACCGATAAGAAATATAAGTTCTTAATTTTGTCGCAATTTTCTACCTTTTGTCGCAAAAGATATCAATATCAATGAAATTATGAACAATATAATTACGAAGTTAATTAAAAGTAAGGTGTTATAGCTTGTTAGGTATTACTGGGGATGGTATAAAAGTAAGAAACCATCTGATATCAACTGCAGTTTGCAAAATATCTTTGAAATGGAACTGAAAATTGCGATGAATTGGGGTACAGGCCTATTATAATGTATTGAATGATAGAGCCTGCAGTAACGAATGGAATTATATATGTGAAACAATTCAACCCAAAACAGCTTCGTTTGTTATTTGGTAATATTTGTGTATATAAAAATACACAAAAGAACATATAACCATTTTAAAATAAATAAATTCCTGAAGATCCTGACCATTTCTCAATTTGTGGCTATATGACTTTTACTGAGATTTTGATTCACTGCCGGAAGTTAAAAGACCGCTCTGACTTCTGGCTAAATGGAATTCGCATTGAGTAGGATTTGGCCAATTACAGAATTCGCTGGGGAATTGTCTGTAACTTTTTCAACTGCCAATTGGGGGACCATAAAATATTTGACAAATTGCCATATTTGCAGGCATTTCAGTATTGCGACAGGCCACACAAAGAAATCGAAAGTCAAAATGGGGAATTTGATTCATTTGGCATTTATTTAAATTTGCCACAATTTGTAAGCTAATTTCATTGTCAGAGGCAAATCTGGGCCATATTTGTGCTGGGTCGATTGTTATGTCTGACAGCGACAAATGTCAGAATGTCAAATCACTGGAAAAACATATACGCATACTCACTGTTGCGATATATGTATGCGAAAAAAAGTGTGGGCGAACAATTTGTTTTATTTGCATTTCACACATTCCCCAGTGAAACGGGTGAGCGCCTAAAAATATGCTATACTCCGGCATAAGCGTTTGTTATTCGCCGATGGCCAAAAAGCAAAAGTTACCAGGCCCATATGTCTGCCACAAAAATAACGAAAAAAAGAATGGATATGGGAAAAAATTGGATGTACATATATGTATGTATTTCGGTGAGCTATTTTAATCCACTTTTCAAAATTTATTATGCAGAAACGTTCAAAAATTTCTCGCCAAACTTTTCGCTCCCAAAAAAAAAGGACGAGAATCATCTTTTCGGATTCGTTTTTCAATTGCGGCATTTTTTGGTTTTGTTTTTATTTCCAAAGGGGTTTTTGTCTTTCGCCAGACTAGAGCTGTCCACATGTTTTGGGGGTCATAAATCTGCAATTACCAGTCATGCTGGACTGACTCGTCCTCGGCCTGGTCCGGGTCCTGGACCCATCGTTTCGATGCTGCAGCATTGTCCGGGGATATTTTTGCTGGCCGCCAAGTTGCCGGGGCCCAGTTGCGAAATTCGCTTGATGAATCGGTTTGCTTTGGCCGTCGGAATGATTTTCAAATTGAATCTGCAACTTAAAGCGGCACCGATGTGACATCTAAATTATGCTTAGACTCTGTTTGCCTGACATTTGATTGGAGACCTCTCTGATTCGGTGCGGGGCTCCGAGTCGACTCTCGGCGAGGAAAGTTACCCAGTTAGTTTGTTGGCCCGAAAAATAAATAAACAAAACAGTTGAAAAGAAACTTGAAGTTGACTAGTTTCCCTGCCCTTTTAGCTATCTCTTTATTTCTCTACTTGGCTTTTTATTTTTTTTTTTTTTTCTTGTGTCCCCCTTACCAGTGTTTTTTTTTTCCTCCTGTGAGCCGGTAATTTTTGCCATTTCTTGGCCGAGTCCTGGATGCTCGACTAACTTGTATGCGTTCATGCTTGGCAGCCAATTCAAGTCGTGTCATTTTGTTGAGTTTGTGTTGAGAGTTCGTTGAGTTACCGTATCCGCCCCCTCTCTCTTGGCCAGGCCAAAAGGCCCCCCTTGTGCTCTTCCCCGCCCTTTAGCCTTCACCGCTTGTAATTCAAATGTCAGTCAGTGAGTCAGTCATTCAGTCGTCGGTTCGTTCGTTTGTTCGTCCTTTCAGTCGGCACGTCAATGTGAGGCAAAAGTTCCTTCCAAGCTCTTTCCATCCACTTGAGCCTTGCCAACTGAGTCGCATCGGATCCGTCTGCCCCTCTGCTACTCTGCTCAGCCTCCCAGGATCCTGCATCCTCCAGGACAGGTGTTGTCTCATTTGTATCGTTGCATGTGTGTAAGTGTGTGCGTGAGCCTTGTGGTCTTCTAGTTTTTCCTCCAGTTTCCCGTCTATCCAGTTTGCGGTTAGCAGGTTGAAACCTTCTCGGCTACGGCTCTCTACTTTCCGTTTGTCTTGCGTGAGCCTGGCAAAAATAAATTATTTATTGAACTCGGTTGGTCGGGCACACGGAAAATTCCAAACACAATAAACTACATACATGGATAAATTGATTCTTGCTTAGTTTTCTGGGTAATCAACTGAAATCTTTGGCAATCATCGATCAAAGGCCAAAAGGCAAAGCAAAGGGCGCCTTCCAAAGAGAAACTTTGTAAATATGAAAAGATAAAATTGAAACTGATGTATTTTATTTAAACAAGATTGTGAGAATCACTCTGTTTAATAATTCCTTAGGAGAAGAGCTTATTGAATTTAATTTCTGTTTACCCAAAAAAAAGTTTACTTTAACTAAACACCGAAACTTTAGACTTTCTTCGTCCTCTTTTTGAAATATAAACACAAAGTTCTATTATTCTTAACAGTAAAATTGTTGGCCAAGTCTAGGTCTTTAGCCTTGAGCTTGGAGTGTTTTAGTTATTTACACCTTGCAATAATCTCAGAGACTCTAGACACTCACTTTCCCTGGGTAGAGGGGTACAAAATTTCCTTATTTATTCACCCTTGAAGTAACACACGGAAGTAAATTTTCGACTTTGAATTCATGGCGCTGCCATTTGGCTAAAATATGCCCGGCATTGTGCTGTCCTGTCATTGTTCCCGCTTGTATCCTTGCATATTTGCACGCCGCCAGCTGAAGTTCGCACTGCCACCATCCTGCAGCGGGTCGCCTCTCGGCTTGCCACACACTCGACACTACTGGCTCGGGCGCCACACAACTCACAGCTTATGAATTTGCGGCCTTAGGAGCATCAGCCTCAGCTCCGGCTTGGCGCGTATAAATTTCATAAGCCAACAACGGCACTGAACCTGCAAGTGTTAGGGGGTATGGAGGGTAGAGGGACGTCATGGTCTCGCAGTGCCATAAAACGCTGGCTAAGTGAAGCTCAAAACGGGTTAAATTGCAATTACGTGCCGGCCACTTGCCCCAGAGCATTGTCGTGCCGCAACATGTTGATTGTCTGGCGGAGGAAGTGGTGCCTCCGGTGGTAGAAAGGGTCTGGGCGAGCTGGGTAGCTGGGAATCCTGGGCAGTGGCCATACCTATCTACGTGTTTCCCACCTCGGACTCTCTCTGACTGGGCATAAATTTTGCCGGTTATCTACGAGCCTGCTGCGTCTGCGGGTCTAAAAAGTTTTTAATTAAAAAATGCAGTTAAGAAATTTTTGCCCCACTATGACAAATAGCGCCAACAGCAGCAAACAAGTATGCCGTGATGTATACATGCAGCTCTACATATATTTATGGATATTACTAGAATCGCTTTGTATTGCCAAATCAATCTGCATATTAACAAAACATAAAATAAATAAAATTGCACATCCCCCGAATGCCGATAAATATGTACATAACTTGGTAACTTCGGTGGCCCCACCAGCCTGTTCTTGTCGTTTCTCTTGGCGAAACTTTTGGTCAGGGCTCTTGCACTTTGCCAGCTTTTTTTGGGCCCTGACTGCCTGCCTGCCTGCTGCCAAAGGAAAATTGAAAAACTAATTTTCAACAACAAAATCAAAGCAAAAAGCATCTGTGAAAGGAAAAATTCGGTTTGCATAAAATTTCCATAATACAATTTCGATAATTTGCACAAACTATGTTGATGGCAGGCGAGGAGTTTGGGGCAGATGAAGTATGAAGGACGACCAACTTGAGCTGCAACTTGACTTTCGACTTGACTACTGCTGACGTTTCCCTCGCCAAGGACCTCCTTGCCGAGTCCTGAAAGTCCGGAGTCACCCCCCGCCCAGCCCCACAGGCAACAGCGGGCGCAACAACGTGTTAACAACTATATGTCCTGGCTTGACAATTTTTGGCACCTAGGGCGACAGCGTCAGCCCGAGGAGTCATCAATCATGATGGTGTCCTGGCGTTGAGGCACGTGACATGCGGGTTAAGGATTCCCATTATATCCCACCTAAGACCATAGAGAGTTCAAGGCTGATGACGTGGGGCGAGCTGTCGGCGAAGGTCAAACCGAGATTTATGAGGGGATTTACTCGATCCGAGGAAGGCGATAAGTTTAAATTGCAAAATTCAGCTTCTGAGATTTATAAACGATTTTAAAACAATTTATCTCTTCCGAACTTTGTCTATTTGTGGACTAACATTCGGAGAAAATAGAAATTTCAGAGTCACTAATTATAAAGTATTAGTTTCACTATAAATATTTATTATAATAAGATTATTATATTATTATAATGGGTTACAGTCATGTTTTATTTAGTTTTAAATGCAATTACCGAATAAGAATAGTTTTTAATGTTTTATATACATATATTGCATTGTTTCGTCTCACAAATGCATATTAGATATTGTAGGCTTGCGAGCTCGTCACCGATATTTAACCTCCTCAAGAGGTTTTTTATTTAATGTCAGCTGCATTCTGTGTTTACATGGTGAATTCTTGTATTGATTATTTGATACGATTTTGCGATTTGCGATATCTTATCGTATATCTTATCAATGAGCGGTTACAATTCCCTCCTCACCAAAAGGTATATAAGAAGAATGTTGTGGAGTTTCCAAACCCGCTACCGTATAATGTTTCTTTCGCGGCTGTGGCTTCTGACCGTTGTCGGAGTAGTTTCCCTGGTTAAAGGGACTTTTGTTGAGATCGGAAGTCGAAACTATTATATAGAAACCAGAGTGGAGAAGAACTGGTTTGAAGCCTTTCAAGCTTGTCGTCTGCTAAACGCTGACCTTGTATATTTTGAATCCTTCGCTGAATGGCGCTTAGTTGATGAATATCTTTGGGACAACAACTTGGATAATGTCTATTGGACCTCCGGCACCGACTTGGGGAACAAGGGCTACCATGTTTGGTTCTCAACTGGCAAGCCAATAGTACTTGATATTTGGAAACCCGGAGAACCAAATAATGATGAAGGCATTGAACGATGCGATGAAATGGGTTGGAGAAGGAATGTAACAAATAGTCACAGATTAAACGACAAAAAATGTGACTCTAACAGAAGATTTATATGCAAAGCACGTTAATATGTTCAAAATTTAAACAAATAAAGTAGATTTATTAAATAACTTATTTTTTGGCTATTTATATTTTTAGCTAATGCGGTTAATATCTAACGTAGACTGCCTTCTAGGCATACTAGGTCGGTATTTAAGGGAGTATTTAAGAAAGTATTTCAAGGTGGATTAAATAAATTATACACAGAAAGTTTCACTAATCATATAAACCAATATAGTCGATAATGGCTGTGACGACTTTCTCTATAAAAGACTAGAAATGAACCGAATCAAAAGTATTAGAAAAATGCGCATCAAATACTTAAGACTCGCGGTCGTAGTTGGGGTATTAATTTCGTTATCAAAAGCAGATAAACTAAAAGAAAACGCGAGTGATGTCAGTGACATGATTTCAACGTCGTCTTATTGGTATTCTATTGAAAGGAAGACCTCACGGAACTGGTTTGAAGCTTTTCAAACATGTCGCTTGGCAGGACTGCATCTAATTTATTTTAAAACGCATAGCGAATGGCGAGAATTAAATGATTCTCTGTGGGTCAACCACGCTGATAATATCTATTGGACTTCTGGCACTGACCTGGCTTTTAAGAACAGAAAATATTACTGGTTTTCATCTGGAGAGCCTTTCCATACGAATCTGTGGGCCTATGGAGAACCGACTCGGAGTAGAAGGAGGAAAGGTGGAAATCAAAACTGTGCTGTAATGGGCCACGAAAGGACTAGGTCAGGTAGTCACAGACTCGGGAACAAGGATTGTTATGATAAAAATCTTTATATATGCAGAAAAAACAAAGAAGAATAGATTAATTTAATTTTATAGTTTTCTCATCATCGCCTTATATTTAAATCTCAAGCTCTGTCATGGATATAAAAATTACCAAACAATACCTACGAAGATATATTTTTTGGATTAAGTTCAAAGATCTCAATGCATTTATGCAAAAAAAAAAAAATTTTAATGTTTTGAAAGTATTGAAAAAAAAGTTAAAATTTTGGATAATTCAAAAAAGATACAGGAAAAAAATCGTAACACTTAACACCTTATTTTCATATGAAAAAAATGAACAATAATACAAAACTTAATTAAGAGAACTTTAATATATCTAAACTTAGTTTAACGCTGACCTAATCTGTCTTGGATCATTAGGCAATTTCAACTATCAATTTTAAGAAAACATGAGGTCATTACTATATTGAGAAAATTACTAAAACCCAATATGTTATCATATGTATAACCAATAACTTTCGTCACCTTCGTGGACTGTCTTTCACAGTGACACGATAAAGTTCAGTACTGAATATTAGGTAGGTATTTAAGATATGCTTTAACAAGCAGTTCAAGGTAGATTAATTTTATTCTACGCGGAGAGTTGCGCTTATCATTGCACAAATATAAACAACTTTCTCCAAAAGTCTCGAAATAAGCCGCATCCAAAATAATGGAAAGATGTCCAGCAAGTGCTTAACACTCGTGATCCTAGTAGGAGTAATAATTTCATTGTCAGATGCAGCTCGTTCAAAGTGGTTAATTGAAAGAGCGGACAAAAAGAACTGGTTTGACGCCTTTCAAACATGCCGATTTAAAGGAATGCATCTCCTGTATTTTAAAACAATGGCGGAATGGCGTGAACTTGATTTATATCTATGGGATAACGACTGGGATGGTGTCTATTGGACATCCGGCACAGACTTCGCTTTTTCGAAAAAATTTTACTGGTTTTCAACTGGAAAACTCATTACTATGAATCTATGGGAGCACGGTGAACCGAATAATAAAGGAGGAGCTGAACATTGTGTGGAAATGGGCTCTAAAAGGACTTCTTCGAGTACGCACAGACTTAATGACAACAATTGTTATACGAAAAATCTGTATATATGCAAAAAGTAAAAATAATAGTAATCGAAATTGTAATTTAAAATAAAAACAAGAAAGGAAAGCAAAATTTTGGCGGAACCAAAGTGTCCCAATGTTAGGTCGGTATTAAAGGGACGCTTTAACAGGCAGTTCAAGGTAGATTAAGATGATTATACACGGAGAGTATATGAAAAATATAAAAAATATAAAATATAAACAACTTTTTCCAAAAGTCTCAAAATAAGCTGCACCAAAAATAAGGGCAAAATGTCCAGCAAGTACTTAAGACTCGTGGTCCTAGTTGCAGTAATAATTTCATTGTCAGAAGCACTTCGTTCAAAGTGGTTAATTGAAAGAGGTGACAAAAAGAACTGGTTTGATGCCTTTCAATCATGCCGTTTAAAAGGAATGCATCTCGTGTTTTTTAAAACGTTCCCGGAATGGCGCGAACTTGATTTACATCTATGGGATAACGACTGGGATGATGTCTATTGGACATCCGGCAATGACTTGGCTTTTAGAAATACGTTTTACTGGTTTTCAACTGGAAAGCTCATTACTATGAATCTGTGGGAGCACAAAGAACGTAATCGTGGAGGAAATGAACATTGTGTGGAAATGGGCCACAAAAGGACTTGGTCAAGTACGCACAGACTTAATGCCAACGATTGTTATAAGAAAAATATGTATATATGCAGAAAGTAAAAATAATAGTAGTCGAAATTGTAATTTAAAATAAAAGTTAATACACCCTGCCAGTTAAGAACGGAAGTACGTCGAAAATATCGGCTAGAGTTATCCGATTCATATATGAATTTTATTATAAAACCCATATCTTATAATAAAAATTAAAAAAAAAAATTCGAAGCTTCTAGTTTTGAATAAACCAAACTTTCAGTCTCGTCATCGTCTCATATTAAGAACTTGAGAACGTTGTAGGATTTAATGCCATTGGGAAGTCGTCAAAGTAGCCATATAAACGATTAAAACGGTGCTAATATGGGAAAATTAGGTAATCTCTAAAAGATAATTGAATAATTCATTCTCAGTACATTAATTTATCTTACCTCAGCTAAACCGTTTTGGCTATGTAGGAACATTTTTAAGAAAACCTGAGGTGATTGTCATAATCTGAGAAGAACTAAAATCCAAAATTTTGTCATGTTACAAGTAACGTTCGTCACCTTGGTGGTCTGCCTTTCACAGTGATGCCACAATGATAGGTCGGTATTAAAGGGAAGCTTTAACAAGCAGTTCAAGGTATATTAAGTTGATTATACACGGAGAGTTTCGCTTATGATACATGCAAAATAAACCTTATACAAATTACTATCAATATGTCCACCAAATACTTTAGACTGACGGTCGTAGTTGCAGTAATAATTTCATTGTCAAAAGCAAAACATAACTATACAGTGGAAGAACCTCCAGAGTATTATATTGAAAGAAAAGTACTAATGAACTGGTTTGACGCCTTTCAAACATGCCGCTTTAAAGGAATGCATCTCCTGTATTTTAAAACGATTGCGGAATGGCGTGAACTTGATTTATATCTATGGGATAACGACTGGGATGGTGTCTATTGGACATCCGGCAATGACTTGGCTTTTTGGAAAAAATTTTACTGGTTTTCAACTGGAAAGATCATTACTATGAATCTGTGGGAGCACGGAGAACCGAATAATCAAGGTGGAAAGGAACATTGTGTGGAAATGGGCCACAAGAGGACTTGGTCTGGTAATCACAGACTTAATGACAAATATTGTTATAATAAAAGGCTTTATATATGCAGAAAGGATAAAAACACTACATATACTTGTAATTGTAATGAAGTTGGATAAATTTCATTGTCGGTCAACAAATCAATGCTGCCTATACTCGTTCGGTCATCCAATTCCATAATGATATTCTGAAAATAATCTGTTAGTCCCTCAAAAGACATCATCAAAATATCAGAAAATAAACTGAATTGTTGTCACACAATATTAGAAACTATATACTCGGTCTGGGTTTCAGGGAGCTAATAAAAAGTATTAAGTAGATTAAGTGGATTTAACACAGAGAATTAACACATTAATGGTGTGACGCCTGGCTCTATAAAACACTAGAACCTATTCTTATCAAAAGGTTTTAAAAAATGTCCCCCAAACAATTAAGACTCGCGTTCAGAGTCTTAACAGACGCACGGTTCTATATTTGAAGAAAAGTTCTCTGAATGTTTTATAAGAAAAATATTAAATTTCTAACAATAAAGACATAAGCTTTAGATTCATATTCTGTCAAGAAATGAAATCAAAGCTCGCAGATCAAAGATTCCGCTCTGATAAAACAAAATGTCAATCAACCTAACTTATTTTTTATCAGAGATTTCGATAAAATACTTGCGTTTCGTATAAAAGGCCAGAACTTAAACGTTGGTGACCAATTTGTGAAAATGTTGGCTAAGATAGCACTCATTTGGTCGGTGTATGGAATATTTTCGGCAATCGGAGCATATCAAGTGGTACAATATCTACAAAATGGTAATGTCTTCACGATCATATTCATAATCATAATAATACTAATCCTATTTATTTCAGGAGTGCCTGGTTACCTGAACATAACCTCCGATCCATTCGTAAATATCAACGGTGGGTTCTATTATATTGAACCAAAATCGAAAGTGACCTGGTATCAGGCTTTCGAGTCCTGTCGTCGAATGGATGCCTATCTGATTGCCTTCGAAACCATTGAAGAATGGAACCAGATCAACCAATACCTGTGGAATCACAACATCAGTGATTTGTACTGGACTTCGGGTGTGGACTTGGCGGTTGAGGGAAAACACGGTTGGTTCTCAATCGGCGAGCCCATCCAACTAAATATTTGGGGCACTGGAGAACCAAACAATATGGATGGAGTTGAGCATTGTGATGAGCTGGGCTACGATGGAAATGCCACCAATTACAAGGTACTGAACGATATACAGTGCGACGAGCAAAGATTATTCATATGCGAGACTCATGGACCCAAAACGGCATCGGTTGTAGTGTGGTAGAGATGGGATATAAAAAACCCTTTGCCTTTCCAGAATAAATATATCATAGCACCTCTACTGATATGTCAGAATGATATTGTGGGCATATCTTGGGCCAAGATAGCGCAAGTGTTGATCCAAGATGCCAGGATGTTTTTGTGGGAAAAGAAGCAAACCGGAGACAGGGAAACCTCGGAGCTGACAAACTTTAGCTTATGCACAATTCAGATTGCATTGTCAGCAATTTTTCCATTTTTGACTTTTTCCACATGCCAACTTTTCTACGAGCTATTGTTTTTCTCCCATTCCGTGTGCTTTTTTTTCGCCTGCCTCACGCTTTTCGCCCGCACCGAGCGCAGACATGACAAATGATGTCAGCGCTCGTGCATAGTTTTCCGGAAAGGAAAACACAGAGCGGGAAAACCGGACTGGACTGGGGGAGGTGAGGGAAAGTCTCCTGACAGTGTTGAAAAATGTGCTGGCTGCAAAATCAACACAAACATTTGAAGCAGGCAGCAGAAGAGCAAGTTAGCCGCACTCGGGCGTGACATGTCGCGCTAAAAGTTTTTCCAATGCAAAGAATCCCCCGCGGAAAAGTCCGACTCAAGGGAAAAAGTTTCAAAATCATATGAGTGGGCATTGATTATCATAATTGAAATAAGTCGGCTTTCAAAAGTCAAACACCAACTAATGTGAAGAAAGCCCAAAAGGGAGAAACTCAATCGTTAAAATAAACGCTCAAGTTTTCCACAATGCCACTTCAGACAAGAATGAAAAAATATCTAGTATTTAATAGTGATATCCTTTAAAGACAAAAATCTTTCACCTTTTTTAAAGGTCTGTTTTCAATACTATTGTCTTTTGAACAAAAACCAAACATAAAGTAAATGGATTTCTCTTAAACGTAAATGAATATTCAGAGAAAATATACACACACTTACCGCCCAAAGTAGGTTTCCTAAGAAAACACAACTCAATTCATGGAGCTTTATCCTGGGACCAGGACAGAGCGAAATCTTGGCGGCTCAGGCAAATTGTAGTTGCTCTTTGTTGGCACGCATCTTAAATGTAATTTGCATTTGGGGCGAAGGCGAATCGTTGCAAGGAAGCCCTTGGATTACGATTGCCCCGCTCCTCTAGGTCCCTGGCCACCCAGTGGGTAATTATAATTGTCCGTCTGGCAGGACACTCACTGTCCTGAGTGTTGCGGCTTGCTGCGCTTAATTTGTGTTGCCGCAAAACGATTTTCCAAGAGCTCAAATTGTAATTAAATTTTGACATCGACTGTCCGGCTGTCCGACTTTGGACATTCGATGCCAGGCATTTAGCTTCAAGGATCATTGGGCAGAGTTTCGATTAGCGTCCAAGGAATCCCAAGGAGTGGGAAGATAATCGAGACTTCCAGCATGGGGTGAAGCTGTTTCTTGGCAGCAAAAGATTTCTAAAAGTGTAAACTTTCACCAGTTGGAGAATCGAGGGGTGTTTGTTCAGTTTGCCAGTTGCTCCGCATCTTGTTCAGCTTCTTGCACTTGCTGGAATATTTACGCTCCGAGGCGGATGTATGTCAATAAGCAAAAGTTGATGCTGGCCCAAGCATTTTGCCAAGTTGCGTCTCGAGATGCACTCATCTCCATTTGAGCCATAAAGCTAAGTAACTTAAGCACAATGCAACGAAAGCAGTGAAAGCGATTCAAAAGTTGCAATTCAGCCGGGTCCCGGTCCGTGTCCGGGTCTGGGTCCGGGTACGGGTCCGGGCAATTGGCCAAGTTATCATAGAAATGAGTTATTTGTTAGATCCATCATCCCGAATGCATAAAAGGAGAAAACACAGAAATTCCTTCCGCCTGCTCTGGCTCTGCTTTCTGCTTTCAGCTCTGCATGAAAATAGCACGAAAATGGCCCTGGAAGCTCCGCAAAGAAACGACGACTGACCGCGTCCACATAATCAAAAAGCAAATTGCATGGCTCGAAAAAATAAACATAAATTTCAGCTACAGACTATAAAACAGCTAAAAACGAGAAGAACAAACCGGCAAGGAGGCTATAGCCAAGGAAGCGTTTGGGCGGAAACCAGAAACTTGTTAACAAAATTGCTCTGGGTTCATTGACAGTTGATTGTGAGCCAGCAAGTGCAAGTTTATACTTTCAAACAGCTTTATTGCACGGTGGAAATAATATTTTAATCGATTTCAAATATAAATATACAATACCCGACCTGCCTGGCCTAAATGGCATTTTTAATTATAAGCCCAAAAGTTGTAGAATATTCTGTGGAAATAATATATTCTAATTCGCTTTAATTAAGCAGGTTTGGGTTTCGACCAGGTGTCGACCAAATTGCCAATCTGCAACACTTACCAAAAAGGATATTCAAAATAATACGATAATACTTTTAATTTATTTTGGAATCTCTTTGAGTCTTAAGTGCTTTTCCGTTTAAGCTAAAATTTTAACAAGACTTAATTATGCCTTTAAAATAGTGGGAGAAAGTCGTTTTGTTTTACAATTTACAGTGTGAAAGCCGGGCAGATCATATGGCCAAAAACCACATTCCATTTCCGCCAGCACTTCCAGGTTGTGCAAAAACTGTAGTCTACTTAAAAGGGCAGCGGTAACGGCAGCCAAACGAAATTCATTATCAAAAATGGCTCAAGGCAGCTGGCAACGGAGGATGGTCGAAGGGCATAGGAGATTGGAGCTCACCTTTAAGTTCCCAACCTTGGCTAATGAATGTCAGAGGGGGGTGTCAGGTCGCCAGGGGTAGCAGCCTGGCTGGGAGGAGGACAGGGTAGCTGGAGCCATAACGCGGGTCGCCACTGAAATGTCAACTGGCGCATGCCCCCTGGGCAAGTAATTATGTTTGATGACCTGGCGGTCGCCAGCTCTCCTCCCCCCTTCTCTCTCTGGCGCTATTTTTCGTCTCACTCTTTCCCCCGCCAACGTCCCGGCCCGCCCGCAGTCTAGCGCACCCTTGACTCTGGTGGGAAAAATAAGTTAAGCGATGGAGCAGAAAGTCAGCAGGAGCAGCAGCGTCGAGATTATAATGCAAATGTTGAATGGCTTGGCCATCTATTTTCCCAAAAGTAATTGAGCGAACTTTACAATCAGTTCATAGTTTGGATTTTTAATTTGTTCGTTTATCGGTGGCCAGTAGCCACAAGAATAATTATAATCGGAATAAGCTAATGCGATGTTTTATTATAATTGCAGTTTAATTATGCATTTAATTATTGAATTGTTTCTTCTTAATGCCATTGATATTACTTAAACCTACAATAAATTGAAAAGCCTATTAATTGTGGGTCAACTTTCGTTGTTAAGTATTAAACATGTGGCGATTATTATTCGTACAATTAATCCAAATTGGCCAGTGTTTTCTACCCAACAGAACACCTGTTGTAAGCTGATTTTATTTTCATTTGGATTGTTTATTGTTATGAACTGAACATTTTACATTCATTTCTTAATATGTTTCAAAGATATAACTATACAAAAAATTGTATGTCAATTGAAAAGCATCGGTCGAGCATTGGAATAAAAGATTGGCCACAGATGTTTGCGTCATCCCCATACAGGACTCTACCATCGGCCATTGTAATAATACAATATCGGCCAAACATGGCAAACAAGCCTCGATAATCTTTAAATCTTCTATAATAATTATTATATAATTATTATTATTCTTAGATTATAATCTAAGAATTTTTTGAAAAATTTAATAAAAAAAATTAAAGTTCCTTAAGCATTCCTGTTTCCTTCCTATTTTCCGTTTCGTCCTTTGAATCCTGCTGGCTTGTTTAGCCCTCTAGTGGCTGGTGGATGATGTACAAGAACATAGAAATCAAGGACACATATAACATAGAAATATAGAATAAAGGACACGAACGTAGAAAGGATAAATATAGAATAAGATAGAAGGATAAATATAGAATATAGACTCTATTCTATTTTGCATGTTCATAAAAACATTTGAACTTAAGATAGAACATTCTATATTTTTTATAAAACTAACATATGAAAAATAAAATTTACTTTTACTGTTAAAGTTTTGACTGTAAACAGGTTAACTTCCATCTTCTTTATATGTTTTGCCAACTCTAAATGTAAAATAGGCAACATAAAGCGATATCTGGTGGCAATTTTTATATAAGCTGCTAGATGGTGCCACTTAATACTTATTATAATAATTTTATATTATAAAAAATTAAAATTAAATCAATTCTCTACCGATTCTTAAGCGGAGTACTTTAAACGATTTCTGGATCGATTCTCCACCATTCTGCATCAAAATCCTGAGACGAAATATTTTTTAGATTTTTTGTCCATTTTTCGTGATGGGATCCCTTGAAAATGGGGTTTTCCCCTTAGGGCCGCGATGCCCATATCTTCCTCAATTCTTCTTTTCTTTTCAAACAGAATAAAAAAAAAAATTTTTTTATATATTCCCCACCACTCTAAAAAAAAAAAAAAAAGGAAATATTTTTTAGATTTTTTGTCCATTTTTCGTAATGGGATCCCTTGAAAATGGGGTTTTCCCCTATAGGGCCCACAGCGATGCCCATATCTTCCTCAATTCTTCTTCGATTCTCAAGCGGAGTACCTTAAACGATTTCTGTATCGATTCTCCACCACTCTGCATCAAAATCCTGAGACGAAATATTTTTTAGATTTTTTGTCCATTTTTCGTGATGGGATCCCTTGAAAATGGGGTTTTCCCCTATAGGGCCCACGGTGATGCCCATATCTTTCTCAATTCTCATCCGATTCTCAAGCAGAGTACCTTAAACGATTTCTGAATCGATTCTCCACCACTCTGCATCAAAATCCTGAGACGAAATATTTTTTAGATTTTTTGTCCATTTTTCGTGATGGGATCCCTTGAAAATAAGTTTTCCCCTATAGGGCCCACAGCGATGCCCATATCTTCCTTAATTCTCATCCGATTCTCAAGCAGAGTACCTTAAACGATTTCTGAATCGATTCTCCACCATTCTGCATCAAAATCCCGAGACGAAATATTTTTTAGATTTTTAGTCCATTTTTCGTGATGGGATCCCTTGAAAATGGGGTTTTCCCCTATAGGTCCCACAGCGATGCCCATATCTTCCTCAATTCTTCTTCGATTCTCAAGCGGAGTACCTTAAACGATTTCTGTATCGATTCTCCACCACTCTGCATCAAAATCCCGAGAAGAAATATTTTTTAGATTTTTTGTCCATTTTTCGTAATGGGATCCCTTGAAAATGGGGTTTTCCCCTATAGGTCCCACAGCGATGCCCATATCTTCCTCAATTCTTCTTCGATTCTCAAGCGGAGTACCTTAAACGATTTCTGGATCGATTCTCCACCATTCTGCATCAAAATCCCGAGACGAAATATTTTTTAGATTTTTTGTCCATTTTTCGTGATGGGATCCCTTGAAAATGGGGTTTTCCCCTATAGGGCCCACAGCGATGCCCATATCTTCCTCAATTCTTCTTCGATTCTCAAGCGGAGTACCTTAAACGATTTCTGGATCGATTCTCCACCATTTTGCATCAAAATCCCTAGACGAAATATTTTTTTGATTTTTTGTCCATTTGTTGTCCCCCTTAAAAATGGGGTTTTCTCCTATATGGCCCACAGTGATGGCTTTATCTTCCCCAATTCTCATCCGATTCTCAAGCAGAGTACCTTAAAAAGTTTCTGGGTCGATTACGCACCCGATTACTCGGATCTTTTGGATTGTTAACTTATACACAAACATTTTTTCGTTTAGAAATGATAGAATAAATTTAATTTAAAAGATTTAGTCTCACTCTTCTGTTACACTTCTCTACATAAACCAAAAAGGTTTGAAACATGGCTATGGGTAAGAGTAAAAAATGTATATAAGATTTAATAAAAGTCCAGGAGTCCTATCGAGAGTCTTTTTGATAATCCAGATAGTCAATTAAATACAATTCCATACCTTGATAAACCTGAATAAATGATTTTGTTTATACCGATTAAGTTTCATACCGTTTATTTAACTCACAAATTAATGTTCCATATTTTACAATATTTTGAATATCCAATAACGACCATTTGATAGACATTTTTTATACAAACGATAAACATAATATCTCAGATAATATGTGGCAATGCCTAATATTAAATTTATTTTATGGAATAATGTGTGCATGTCAATTTTTACTAAACGTCAAACGAAACGATATGCATTTTCTATATACTTTCGATAATATCTATATATTCATGTATATACGTGTGTATACATAGTTTTGTATTTAATTTTGATGTATATTAGCTAATAATAAATATATATATTCTTTTCCTCATGGAGTTTGTTGATTTATTATTTTAGAGACAAAAAAACTTGTCACGCTGTGATTTATAAGAATAGTCCTTAAGTTTCAGTAGTGCCCATTGTAAATATATAGAAAAGTTTTGGTTCCCGATATCAAAAGTACCAACGAATCCAAAAACAAAGCCTGGTGACATTTTGCAAGCCAAATCAAATCATAAATCATTCAACGATTGTATGTACAATGATCTGTGAATCGATTTCAAGAATACTGATCATTCCGATGTCGCTTCTTTGATTTATGGATATATCTTCTTACTTTTTATTTTATCAAATTTTAAGTAACGTTTGGTGCATTGTTTAGGAGGTGGTTCGAATTATCCAATTTCATTTATCTACTATCTTTACTAAAAAACTGAAAACTAAGAAAAATAAAACAGATAATTACATTTCCTGTGAAGTACACAAGACGAGAATGTATTTCGCTTTTCGGTAATCTGTCTTTTACAATGTTTACGTTATAGTTTTACGATTAAAGTGTGTTTATTGATCTCAATATAACTATATCGGTTTTCATTAGTTGCGATTCATTTAGCTGCATCATTCGTAAGCTTAAATAGTTTAAAGTTACTCATGCTATCGAATTCATTTATTTTTTTTTTCTGCATTTTTAAATTATATTTATAAGTTAAGTATAATACATTTTGTACAATTTTAAAAATTAAATTAAATAATAAGAATTGATGTTAAAACGGTAGTCCGCACACTGACACACTGACAAAATAATAATTAGCCCTAAGACATAGAGTTTCCTACATAGCAACGTATTTGTAATCATTATTCCTAGCAGGATATAGATCAACAAGTATTGGAAGGGCATTTACCAAAGTATAATACATGTTTTCGGATTTACGATTAAGTCGATAAGGTGCCATTTGATTTTTATTACTGTGGGTAACTTGGTAGCTTGGTCAATTTAGGATCTGGCCTAGAGCTAAGCGCCATTCAAGGGTGTCTTTACGCGTCTAAGTATCTGTATTTAATGTGGGTTTCTGTTTTCTATTCATAATTCAACATTAGTTATGTTTGCGTTAAGTATCTCTAATTCTCTGATGTAACCGCCATCCGTCATTCATCCATCCATCCATCCACTCATCCACCTCCAGCCTGGACTTTAAACTAAGTTGCGTTTTTTTCAAGCGAACCACACTTTTTGTCCCCCTGGTGACCCCCGCGTTGCGACCTTTAGAGCTGCACCTGGAACGACTGCGCCGGCGCCTTGGGCGGTGAGATGAACGGATTGGTGCTGTGCCTGGCCAGCGGCGAGCGGGAGGTGCTGGCCACCGGGAGATCCGGTGAGAGTTGCTTGGCCGCCGCCACATTGGCCGCCCACTCGGCATCGAACGGATCATCCGGACCGCCACCGGCTGCAGGGGCAAGGGTCTGGGCGCGACCCACATTGGCCAGATAGCTGGGACGCTTGGGCGCTGCCGGCGAAGTGCTGCGCACCACCTGACCCAGCCATTGGTCGGCGTTGGGCAGCTCCGTGGAGGTTTCTATGTTCTGCTCCGAGCGGGTGGGCGACTGCGAGTGGAGCGTCTGGTAGGTGGGCGTGGTGCTGACCACCCGGGGCGTCACCTGCGCCGTGGGCGTGGCGCTGTACGAGATAGAGTGCTGCTGCACCTGCTTCTCGGCGGCAATGATGTTCTGGTTGATGCTGCGATTGTTGTTGAAGTTGAGGTCGTCGCCGGTGGCCATCAGGGTGTCTGACTGGCTGAGCAGCGAGAGACCCTGGCTGAGCTCCTGGCACAGCTGGCTGACGGAGTCGGCGGCCACGGCGGCGGCGGCAGACGGATCAGCGCCTGCTCCGGACTTTGCTGGCGAGACCTCGGCAATGGGCGAAACGCTGCGGAGCGGTGTCTGCAGCGGATTCCCGGCAGCGGCGGCCAGGAAGGCCCTCTGGCGATCGGCGTTGGACGGAAGATCGTTGACGCGCAGTGACATCTGGCGCTTGAACGGCGACTGGCTGCCGATCGTGCTCAGCCGGAACGAGCTCTGGCGCTCCAGCATGTTGGGCGTGGCGTGTGGCCGCTCAATGGCGAAGGGATTGTACGGTTTGACGGTGGCCGCCGGCGGACCCGGCATCGCTGACCCCGGCCCGTCCACGCTCCGCTCGTTGGTGCCCACCGTGGCCATGGCCAGGCGCTCCGTCAGCGTCTGCTGCCGGAAGGAACCGGTCCGTGTGAATGTTGAGTTCTTCGTGTCGAAGGTCATCGTGACGCCGCACTCCTTATCCCGCCGCTGCTTCCGTTCCAGACAAACGGCAAAGGCACAGCCCACGGCATGGCTCAGCCGCTCGCCAGAGTCCTTGCACGCCAGGAAGCCATGGCACATCCAGCGCCGAGTTGTACCGTCCCGACAAATGTAGCTGAAGCCGCGTTCGTGGTTGCGATCCGGAGCGCAGAAGCTGACCTTCTCGATGGTCTGGTCCACAATAAGGCCCTTGGTCTCGTCGTCCACCACCCGCAGGCCATCCCCACTGACATGAAGCAGTCCTCGGACAGGACGACGTCGCGAGTTCTACAAATAGGACGCAATTTAATAAGAAATAAGGACATTGGAGGTGCTAGTCTCACTTACCCTTAGGACCTTGAGGGCCTCTTCGCAGACCTGCATTCCACGCGACTCAAAGACTTCGACACAGCCCAGATACTTGACCGAAAAGGAGCAGGTGGCCGATCGCACGGCCTCCTCGTCGGCCTGCCACTGATGCGGCTTGGAGGACTCGGGGACGCGGTCCTTGCGACGCCGGAAGGAGTCGCGAAAGGAGCGACGCAGACGATCCATTTTCTTGGGGGATTTCTTGCTAAACCGGAAGGAGGCGGATTTCTAAAGGGCACAAACAGGAAGCATTAAAAAAATTAGTTATTACACAATATACAGAGAGAGAGAGAGGTATCGAAACAAGTGCAAGTTCAACCCTATTTCTGGGCTTCTAAACTTTATAAATGGACTGTCGAGATCGGAGCTGGAATGAGGAAACCTACCCCATTTTTAACGTCACCGAATTTTCCGCGTGTGAAGCCGCGCTCGAGTGGTTCGTGCGTGTGTGACGATGAGTTTCCCATGCTTGCCGGCTGACTATATAGTATGTGGTGGCTCCTGCCTCAGCCTCGATCCAGGGGCGTGAGTAAATTGTCGTGAATAACCGTTACAAGCTGGCTATAGAAAGCGTTGCCAGATGCCACTGACAGTCACTCAGATTCTATTATTTTTTCTTCAATTTTGAATTGTATTTCGTTTTATTGATCGATTTATTGGCTATAGTCGGGGCTGCGCAAATTTATTTGTTCATTGAATTTGAGTTATGCTTTTTGATTAAATTAAATTGACGGGCGATCTGGAAAATGTTTAGAGATGGTTATTGTAGAGGGGGGTTACAACAAGTCTTTATCAGCGCTGACGTCTCCAATATGCAGTGAGTCACAAACCGTATCGATGGTACGCATGAAACCACTTTCGTTTATCTTTTCCCAGCTTTTATTTTTTTGTATTTTATTTTATTTATTTTTTCAACGCCCCCTCGATTGTGCAGAGATTTCGATCCATTAGCTATCTGAATATTGGAACCACAACCAGAGAGATACCAACCAACCAACCTCCCCGGCATGGCCCGAACTAGAACTAAAGTCAAGAGGAACAATTAATGCCAACGGCCTCCAATAGCTTATCGCGTCCGGACTCCGGAGTGGGCGCTGCGGGGGCGTGGCCACTCTCGAGTGTCTCACGTAATTGTTTACACACATATTTAATATTTCATTTTTTTTTTAACGTTTAGCATTTATTTGCTTTGACTTGGTCGGAGCTTTTGTTTTCCCAGCGCTGCGGCGACACGGTTGACATTTTTGTGACTTTATCACATGCCTCGTATTGCGGTAAACTGTTGATAAACTAAGCGTCCGTAATTATCGCCAAATAATAACAAAATACTGTGTATTTTTTGGGTCTTATTTTCGCCAAAAAACAATCAGTCTAATATCATTATTTCAGCTGACTTTTGATTTTGATGGAGAGATCAACAAACCAGGAGAGGAATCCCAAACCTTCCACTGATTTTATTTCAAGCTCATGTGGCTCATGATAAGCTTGAATAAATATATCTAGCTCTTAGCCAGATCTAATAAATATTATCTAATTATCTAATATTTATTTGATTTAAAAAAGGGGTAATCTCTGCCCCTAAACTGCCTGTCTAAATCTGCCTGTCTAGATCTCTCGGAACTGAAAAGCCCGAGTCACTCAAGACCCAAAATAGTCTGTTATTTTCCTAAAAGTTTTCCCAGCCTTCTAGCCATGATGAATTAGCCCGGTCATGTTAATTGACCAACTCAAACAGTGTCAGAGAGCGAGCTGAACTAATTGGGCTTATTTGTCCAACTTATTTTTGATTTTCCAAACTGAGTTTGGAGCTCCGACGTGTTTCGAATTCCGCTGCAGTGTTGACTTTCCTTGTGAGCCACGTTAAGTGGTAACTGTAAATGTTACGAAACCAGTTTTCGCCCCCCAGTTGGCTGACCAGGCAAGGGCAATCCCACAATTGGTATCTTTGACTTTGGTTTCGGTTTTTGGCTTTTTTCCGTTTTTTTTTTTTAGATTCATTAGAAGAAGGGCGTTGACTTGAGTTCGATGCTGCCCGACTGCATTTCTTAGCTCTGAAAGGTATCTAAACATTCTATAAAGTGGGTCAAAGGTCTCTATCTTATAAGTAGATTGTTCTGGTCAGTAATCTCAGCCATTTGGCTGTGGGAACACCTCTACTAACCACTTTAAAAATCACTAAAAAAGCACTAAGCCTATTCGAATGCCAATAGTGATTCATGGCTTACGCAGAAAAACCACAAAACACCAGATAAAAGCCAAATCACGCACTAAAAGTAAACATGATTTCAGAAATGACAACAATCGAAGGGAGGTGGCGGTGGAGGAGCACCATCCGGAAGGGTTCATTCAACCAATAATCGAGACATAAAACAGGTTCCAGTCGTAAAAATCTGTGTACGTGTTTGTTTGAGAATCAGATCACAGACTGCAGTTGGCTGATAAAAAATTCATATAAAATACAAGAGAGGAGTCTTTATCAATGTTTACCAGATCACGAGATATTTATTTTATTTATATGATATGGTAATTATTAAAACAGCAATCTAAAGGTACTTTCCATGACTAAAGCAAACAGAAAAGGCTTAGTCTTATAGTTATAATGGCTGTTTATTAATTGAAATTCGTCTGGCACTTCATTGACCTCTGACCATTCTTTAAGGCCTGCTGGGACACTCTACCTAATTAATTCATTAAACTTTTTTTTTTTAGAGCCCAACTATAAATCATAGGCCACATGTCTGACCATCCAGTGGGTGACATGTCGTGCCAGAACATGGCAAATATTTCCAGTTTCTCTCTTTATTTTTTTTTTAATTTAGCATTAAACAATTAACCCTGGGATGACAAAACAAGCGCAGTCAACGACACTTCTATATGGGCGGAATATATTGTAGTTACTTTTATTGTATAACCACAATTATCATCGAGCTTTGATGGGTGGGTGGAGTGGGTAGGCCCACCCGAGGTAATTAAATTTCGTTTTTGCCCTCAAAAGGCCAACGACACTTGTTGCATTCCCGGATGATGGATGCTGATGGGTACTCGATGATAGGAACTTGGGGTTATCACCTATATGATGGATATTTTAAGGCCTTTCTAACCTAAGCTCATCACGTACTAGTCTTAAAGATACTTAATATTTTGTTCGAATTATTGGAAGAATACCCACAACATCACTGACACTGCATTTTGTTCACACGCTGCTTTGATGGTCAGAGAAGGATACACATTTTATGGCTTCTTGTTTCCTTTTTTTTGTTTTTTTTTTTTTGCTAGTACTCGATATAAAATTATAATTATTCCAGCCATACGCTTCTGTCTGTCTCTCATTTTTTTCCAAAGGGACTACGGGCCTTATCAACCACCATCGAGTCGGGCATCGACTCCTCGTCCTGTCGGGGGTTGCCCTCTACTACTGGAATTTTTAATTTTTAATGTTCTTCCTTGTGTCGGTGGTCGTGGGAACTTTTCGTTTTTTTTTTTTGGAAAATAAATTTGAAATATATCAGACAACGGTTTGTATGAATATTTAGTGAAGCCATTAAACGGTGTGTGTATAAAGAATACCTTCCTCTTTTATGGCTAGTGGGAGCTCCACGATAATGACTTCAATTAGGCAGCATAATAAGGTGCATTGCGCCGAAATAAAATTAAATTATAGCCCAGGGAGGTTTGCAAAAGGATGTGGGTCAGGGTCAGAGTCAGAGATTTTATGGTAATAAATAGAAGAATTAAATAGCCATGAGTAAGAGCTTTAACTAACTATGATTTAATATCGGATAGAGGTCGAACAAACAGGGCAGAGTTCAACATCTGTGACAACCAGAGAGAGTTCACTTCAGCCATAAATCTCTAGAGAAACCCTCCAAAGAAGTACGCAAGAATCCACAAACCAAAAACCTAAAAAATAATAAAAGAATTTCACAGCATCTGGCCGAGAGTGGCGAACTTCTATAGAACCATGCGAATATTTCTTCTGTGACGCATCTACCTCCTCCCATAGTTATTCCAAAACAATGACAATCCTTACAGAAGCCCCGAAAAGGGTGGAAAATAATTGCCAGGAGATTCTTCAAGTTCATGGGATTTTGGAGAAGGAAAATGCAAAAAGGATCTCCGTATCTTGGGAATCCTTAGCCTCTCGCTTGGGTTACTACTTCTTCATGCCCGAGTGGATGCTTAGATATTTCACACGCTGACCCAAAATGCACCCTTAAGGACCCTCAAGGCGAGGGAAGGGAGGGAATTCCTGTGCATGCACCTATGTGTGTCCTATGCAGGCGAAGTCCTAATTGGCGGGCAAAGGACACAAAGGAGGGCTGGGTGTTGAGCGTTGAGGGGGGTTACTGTGCGCATAATTATTAGCTGTCAATTGGGCGTTGATCAGACCATTATGAGGTGTACTACCTGGGCTGGGAACTAAAAAGTGTGAGAAAACTGATAGAAGGTAGAGGGATGCTGGGGAGATGCAAAAAGCATCTGTTCGCCTGACATTCAAATTCAAACTCCACAGTAAACCAATAAGCATTTCCAATATTCATTTGCCTCACATCCTCCCCAACTCTCTCAACACATCCTTTGAAAAAAACAAACTCCAATCGAGGAAGCACTTGAGAGAGAAACCTCAAAAACCCAACGAACGGAAGTAAAAATGCAGGCACAAAAAAATATAAAAACAAAGGGCATACCAGTATATATGTTCAGGTCTATATACTCCATATACATACTCCATATACACCACATAAGAAGTATCCTGCAGAACAAGAGAACTCGTCGCGAGTCGAAATTGTTTGCATCTGTCGGTGGAAGGACGAAATGCAGCCGCCATTCGTGCCACATCCTTTCTGCCTTCACTCCGACATATGTTCGGTGCACGTGGCGAAGGATACTCGAAGGATTTTGAAAGAGCCTCTGTCTAGTTAGGGTCTCGCACATGCCGCAGTCTGACTTCGATTTGGCACGATTTTCAGGTAGATGCCAGATCCTTGTTATTCCTTATTTGTTTGCCAGCCGGCAGATGTGCCTCAAATAAGGTTCAATCTTAGGCATCCCTCAGATAGTTTTTTGGTTACTTTTTCTTAGGATTTTTGTAGATTCATTATGCAAATGACCATGTCGATGACTCAACTTCGAGTGACACACATAACAAAAGTTATACAAACTTCTTGGACGGGGAACCTGTTTCTTACAACGAGTTTTGTGCGTCGAGGAACATGGTAATTCCATTAAAATATGCAATTGAATAAAGCCAAGAGAGAGAGAACATGTATCTTTCAGAGCCAATCAGTCATTCAAGGCATATTTGTCATTAAGAATTCAAAGCTCATAAAGCGAGGGGAAATCAATGGAGATTTCAAAGAATTTCAAAAGCCTGGTAAACACATTCCTAGAGAAGTTCTAGGCAGGAAAATTATGAAAAATAGCTACTAGGCTGATCTCAAAAGAAAGACGTATAAGGTGTAATGTGCTCCAACGTCATGCGACAGAAGCAAACACTACACCACTTTTATCTGACAGTTTTAAGATCTTTTTTAAAAATCCTACCTCTTGATAAGTCTGACTAGCTTACAAAGTTGTAGTTTTCGTGGAAAACTACGTGACATCACCGAAGCACAGTTTTGTTTGGATAACCGCTAAGTTTAGATGATTATCCAACCGATTTATGGCTGGAAAGGTCGCAGAGTCGGACCCAACCAAGCCTGACTCTCTGCTCTGATTGTCATTGGTAGCCGATAGGCTGTGTTTTCCCTATTTTCCCTATTTTCTATTTGTCAGAGCTCCTATGTTTATTCGAAGCAAATAAACACTCGAACAGCTGTTGGCCAATTGCTTGCCAATTTCCGGGGCCAGCGCCCAAAAGTAGGCTCCGAACAGCTACCCATGGAAATAATCGATAGGAAACTAAACAAACAACCCATATAGAAGCCATTCCAGTGCTCGAATCTATCTATAGTGGGAGAGAAGTAACCAAATACACAAAGGCCTCCCCCTTGGACTGGGGAACAGGTGTGTTGAGTGGGTATTTGAAGACATTATTGGGAATATATAATACACATAAACATTGTCGAAATTATGGCAAATAGAAGAAGGACAAAGCTCCTAAATTAATTACATTTATAGATCTTCCATCCAAATCATAAGACAGGAAATTAAGGGGAAAACTTCCAGTAACTTATTCGCGACCTTTGACATTCAAAGGGCTCTGCGGTTTGGGGTTTGAAGTTTCCTTTTTGAAGTAACCGGAGTAACCACATCCAAGGCCGCGTTACTGCCAACGTGGCGGGTCTTTTTAGCCATTTTCTGAGAAACTTTATGGTTAGTTAACTATTGGCAGGCCAGGAACTTTGATTTGCGAAGCACCCCAGATTCAATTTACTGCCAAGCTTGAGACCATTTGCAAAGTGCTTTTCTCCAGGTGCCGGGGTAATGGAGAGTCTCCCTCGGTAGACATTAATTGCAAGATTTGCCATAAAAATGCGCCTAGTAATCACAGCCTCATTTAAGTATCGGCTTAATGACAAAACGTTTACATGCATAATTATCCAATTTTTTTGCATTTTTAATTTCCTGCCTTAGATGCACAATGGGAGGGAGGCGATGTCCCGACTCCAGAGTCGGCCAAGTTAATGGCCCAGAAGTGGCAGCCATGACTTGGTCTTGGACTCGTTCTTGACTTCTCTGTTGGCTGTTGGCTGCTGCTGCTGTTAATCATCCAAGTTGCTGCATAAAAATAGAAAGGAAATTCCATGAAATTAAAGTTTAATGCAGCAGCAGCAGCACCAACGATCAACTTGAAGTTGTAGCTGAAGTTGAAGTTGAAGTTGAGCTCTCTTTTTGTGTGTTTGTTGAACTTGGAGCTCGGTAGATGGTAGATGGTGAAGTCTCGTCGCGGGTCTTAGCCAACAGTTTAGCGAAAGCCGGGCCGGGCCGTGGAGTCGCCAACTTGAAGAATGCAGTCGGCTTGGCATAATCGAAAGGCATGTGAGAAAAGTTGCCAGCTACCAAACCGGTTGGGCTTCATCTCTTCAGTCCGACTGCACCCAGCCAGCCAGCAGCCTTATGTTCTTACTTTTTTGCCCTAACTTGTTACCAGTTTTTTTATCTTGTTCGTTGTTGTTTTTTTTCTGGCTTTTCTCGGAATGTTTCTGAATGGTTTTCTGCTGGAGGAGCTTTTGGTCTGAAGTTTTTATGAACTGCTGAGATTTATAATCTAACTGAAGAAATGCAGCATAAATCAGAAGGCCCTTTGGTCTAAGAACATTCCAACTAAATCAACTCCAACGGCATGTAATTATGCATAGCAAAAGTATCTCTATCTCATACTTTCCCCCATGTTGGCTTTTAATTACATTGTAATCATAATATATTTTCACCCACTCCCGAGTGGTTCCGTTCTCACCCACCCACCCAACCACCAACACCAATTCATAGCTCATTTCAATGGGAAATTTTTACCATTTCCACTTTTCTTTTTTGTATTTTTTTTTTGGGTTGTAATTTATGCAGTTGACAGTAAAACAATTTGGCACACCGCATACATTAAAATAAATTAACTTTTTAAAAAAGAGACAGGGGGATAACGACTTGAGACTTGCGGGTTTTTAGCAAAAAAAAACTGATTGTAAATATTGCCAATAGATTCGATATTCGAATTCGATATTATACGTTAATTTGACAACCTCTAGCTCGATTTCAATTGTTTATAAGGTTGTTGTAGTCATGCTGGATGAATGATTCATCGTGAGAGTCTGGACTCCAGCCACTCGGAACTGTATAGATACGTTCATGTGATGTATCCGAAAGCAGCTAATTGCGATTCGAATTTATTTCCTTTGTTAGCTTCCCTCCCAAATGGTCATGTTCAAGTGCAAACTCCAGTGATTTATTGAGTTTTAACCTCACTAACTGAATAATTGCCGATAAATATAGCTTTTAGAAAAAAAAACATTGTTCGTTACTAAGTAACTATGTCAGCGTAAACAGCTGTTCGAAGTCAGTACTCACTGCATATGGATAACGTTGTCAACTGAAACTTTAACAAAAAAAATGCCAAATATTTTTCCATTTTCTACAAATGTCATAGCAGTAACAACAAACCTGTCCAAGTCCAAGAATTGTATGCAAACTAGTTTTGACCTGGCCAGAGCTTCACAAAGCTTGGCTTGAAGCTTAGCTTGGGGTTTTTTGTCGTTACTGGTATTGTGATTTTTAAACAAAAATTTACCATTCATATGTATATGGGGATCGGTGTGTGTTTTGTTTCGGTATATATCCAAGCCGCGTAATTAATTAAATAAAATCCGGTTGGGGCCTTATATAATATTTTGGCTCTTTCGGCGTCTCGACGATATTTTTGCCAACGTTTTCAGATTTTTTTTTCAGATTCCAAGAACACCTCACAGCACAGCACACGAATTTGGGGGGAAAAATCGCACAAGTCACGAAGAAAATCGTAAAAACGCGATCCCCAATGGATGGATATACGGATATTGGCCAACAGGAGTGCCCTATCACTGAGTTACCGTTACTATGACCCCCCCTAAGGTGAAACGAAAGTGTCGGATATTTTGTTCACGCGGACATTGGTACAACCGTGGTCTACCGTGGTCGATATGGAATGGAAAACGGTACGCGTTTATCCGGCAAGCGGAAAGACGGTTTGCTCGATTCGGCGTTTCGACTCAAATTGCTCTACTGTACTGGGTAAGCGCCATCGCATCGCTCACTGCTCGCCGAAGAGAGAGTGAGCGTGCGAAGAGAGCGCGAAGAGAGACTTTGCGACAGCTGTTGCAGGGTAGGTGAGATTGTGTGCGTGGTTTTGCTCAGTTCCATTTCCATTATGTTTATTTACTACCAACAACGCAACGGCAACCATAGCCTATGAGCCGCGTTCTTCATTTTCTACAATAAGGGTCAGTGATATAGTACTGGGGATCATGATTCTACAGTCCTTAAAAAATATTATTTGAATAAATACAAGGTTGTTGAAAGAAATTTCTTAAAAATCGATCTTTATAATCCTCTTTTATTGATGTATCTTAGGGGCTTATATACCCTATATTATATATTTGGATATATTTTTTAGATTAATTAGATTATTATATTTCGATTCATTTTATACCTATCCTATAAACAGTGGATTTATTATTTAGATTTTTAACTTTAATCCACAGAGTTTGTACAACAAAATTACTCATACGCCCTGTGAACTTTTGAACTTTTTCCAGAAAATCTCTTTATATCTATGCCTTAAATAGATCAATCCTTTAAAGATCTTGCTTATCAACCTATTGTATTTAATAGTTTTAAAATAAAATATAAAAAAATAAACCACTCTGCGTATGATTAATAACTTTAAAATCCATAGACAGGAATTTTGGTCAAAATTTACTTAAACTTTATTATTCTAAAATATTTATTTATTCTTGTCTTTAGAGTACTTATTCTGATGTATCTCAAAAATACATCTAAAAGATTAATAGCTATTTCGTTACCCTCAACTGTGACTCACCTCCGCATAGGTGATATAGTGGTTGTTGTTGCTGATAGTGACGGCAATGATAAAACTGCGACGCGTTACTGCAGCTTGTAGATTTTGTCGAGAGGGAAAGAGATAGTTCAATACAAAAGAGCAAGAGGGCACATGGGTATCTGGGCTTAGGTAGAATCCCAGGTGCTCTACCCTCAAAGATCGCGATTTCTTACAGTAATCATGGCTTAAAAGATTTGCGGAAATTCTTAGAACTCACGAGCTCGCTTTCATTATGCAAGTCTAGGAATTTTCCCGAAAAATGAGGTGTTTCTGAAAACAATTAGTGGGGAAGGCGGACGAAGGATTAAACAATATTTTTAATTTTATTTTAATAACCAGATTTTGGGTTTTCTTTTAATCCGAAGCTAGTGGGCTGAAAGTGTTGTAGATCTGGAATTTCCAGACAGGATTTAGAAATGTAAATTGCGGAAATAGTTAAAAATTTTAATATACCCTATTCGAATCAATGTAGAGAACTTAAAACCAGTTGTTGGTTTCGTTGGTTCTGCAGCTGCCTTTTTTTTATTTTCTTAACGCGGAGAGTCAAGAGCGCGTGGTTATGGAAGTGATTATAGCGGCCCAAGAGAGTCGGCCAAGAGAGTTATCGCAGCAGATACAATACTTCTTGAGATACAATTCAGTAGAACAACCGAGAGGTTATGAAATGCCATCGGAAATGGAAAATGATCGGAAAGAATAAAAAACTGATTAGGCGAACAATAATCAAGACTCGTTAATCAACGTATTGAACTTATCGATTCGAATTAGTTGCCCAACCTAAATTCCGTGACAACAATGGGAAATGATCGATCGGGCTCTGAGAGTTAGGGGAGCACAAGATAAAGAGCACGAGACAAGGTCGTACTCATTCAAGAGCAAATCCGTACGACCAGGTAGGTTACGAACGTAGTTTGATTAGATAAAGTATATAGATACATTTGCATGTGTGTGAGTAAGCAAAGAGCAGAGAGAGGTATTAAGAGAGTAGACCGCAGTGGAACGTGCGAAAAATTGCAATGCAGCAGTGAGTAGTTTAATCCAGGTAACCTAGGTGACCCATAAAACCAGGTAGTAAAAAAAAACCGATATCAAGACTATTTGGAACAAACCATAGCTACCTACACACGCTATCCAATCAGGCCCGACCCTATCTTCAACTTTAAATGCAGAAAATAAAGAAAATTGCTGCAAACTCTGCAAAAAATAAAACAGAACCCAAGTATCTGTTTTTTATATTTCTCTTATCAAGCTTGCAGTATAAAAATAGTAAACGATTCTCAGCCGTTTAGTTTTTAAAGGTGTTACAGCTTTGTACCTGCAGATAAACCTTAATGAAAACAGCTAGCAGAGTGAATGTGGAAACCCATTTGGATCCCAGACACACCCACCCACGACCAGGCCACCTTCCACCCACCTCCCACCTGACAGTCGCTCGAATGAATAGACAAAAGATAAGGCCAGACAATGAAATGGGTAAAAGGAAAGCGGCACTCCGGGGGACGGGGGGTAAATGACCACAAGCTGAGAAATCAAAGCCAGTCAAAAGGGGGTTGTGGGGTTGTGGGGCAACCAGACAAATGCCACATGTGCAACCTAATCAAAATTTCAATCAAAATGCGCAAAACGCTGCAATGAAAGGTCCACAAAAGGCAACAAATACCCTCTAATGGCTTAGAATGAGTAATCCAATCCAATCCGGCCTGTAATTGTGATTAAGAAGGCAATTGGGCTTTTCGATTACAAATTGTTGGGTCGACAGGATTAACCAATCAATTGTTGGCCAATAATTGAAATAATTTTGTGATTGAAGTTACTTGATTGTCCTGTTTTTCAATAAATAATTCACTTTTAAAAGCTCAATAATAGGGTATTGCACTTGTTTCTTGTAAAATTTTAAGTTAACTTACCCTTAGAACCAATATTCCTTGTCTAGAACCTGTAATTAAAGAATAAAAATTGATATATCTTCAGTTTAAAAAAGCGTTAAATAGTTTTAAAGCTGGCAATGCCTTCTGTAAAGCCTCTCTTAAATAGAACTTAAGAGCTTGCCCGCAGCAGCTACTTGAGTGACAATATCAGTGACGTTTACAAAAAAGTTCCCACAGTCATTAGGGTCATGGTGTCTCTGGCCATTCGGTCTCGTGTTCACAATTTGTTTTTAATTTAAGAATGAATGTTCATGTGCATGTGCATGTGTATTTATATTTATATTTATGTTTGTTTAAAGCCCCTAAGATTCGCAAGCTGTTGCATATAAGGCTGTGCAAATGTTGGCGTGTGTGCTTATGAGCATGGCTTGAGTGGGTTCTTGAGACGTCGCCGGTTTCAGCCGCAAAGCTCGAGGGTCTAGAGGGCTTAAAAGCTTAAAAGCTTTTCAAGTTTAAGCCCGGCTTGCGGTTGAATGAACTTAGTCTTAAAGGGGCTTAAAGCTCTAATATGAATTACTAGAACCTTAAAACAGTGGTCGGCACATAATACATTGATATAATTCATGACGTTTCATACATTTTATACTGTGTGTGAGCAGCAGAGCTCAGGCGGAGAGATTTCCTATGCCCCTGGAATAAGGACCTGCCGACCACTGCCTTAAAACCACCAGAGGTCCTGTTTTTTTAATCAGCTCGATTAATTGTATTTACTCTATCAGATTTAAAGCTAATATTTATCTAATCCGATAAAAAGTGGTTTGCTTTGGGCAATTGCACAGCTTTGTGGGTTTTTTTTCTCCCACAGTTCCATAAATAAAGAGGTCCTTTTTTTATGTACCTTCGAACACATAGGGGTGGACAGTTTTTTGAGTACTTGAAGTGAAACTCACACACATTTCACACCCCAACAATTAGCCAAGGGTTGCACACGCCCTCCTACCCCCTAGACCGCCCTAGCCCGCCCTCTTTCGCCCCCTGCATCCTTCTCGATTTAAACCCAGCTTTCAAGTGCCCTCTGATAAGGCTGCCAATGCAATTAAAAACCATTTAACGGATTAGACGGCAATAAAAAGAAGATTGCTGTTTAAAAAAAAAAGGGGAATACCAGCATTACTACAGGTCGCTGCTAGCTGGAGGGGATGAAGCAGCGTGTGAACCGATTTCGTTGGAATTTAATTTAATTATAATCCAGAAACTAGGATAAAGTCGGCAAGGAATGCCAGGGCCATGGCCCGAGGTCGAAGGAAATAGTTAACAACTATATTGGAAATTTCTTAAGCAAATCCATTTATCCATTTTCAAGACCTTGGGCCTGAGATATGCCCTACACCCTAAACCCCTTTAAGCCAAGCTTAGTTTAATGTTCCATTGAGGAATATCGAGCAATCTCACTTTCTCCCATTAGGCCAGCTAGAGCATATTAGCCATAACCATAAATATCTCAATTATGGCTCAGTCTTGACTTGCCATTACGCATCCAATTTGTTGGGGCATCATCAGCTTCATGCCCCGCCTGCCACGCCCCCATCCACAAGCTACAAAAATGGCACCTAAAGTTTGTGTAATGCAATTCCATTTTACAGCATTTCTTCATCGGATACTAGTCTGGTTCTTCCAGCTGCAGTCGCCGGAGTCATGTGCCGGCAATTTGGAACCATTCCCGATCCCCCGATGCTGGATGCTGGTTGTTGGATGCTGGATGCAGATGCAGATACAGACACAGATACAGATACAAAGCTGACAACGACCGCGGACACCAATTGGAACGTGCCGTTTAGCTGTTTTTTTTTTGTAAAAATTGCATTAATGCAATTCATTCTTTTTTCCAGGCCAGCACTCACCCTATCCCTCGAGGGAATACCAAATTGTATTTATTTTAAGACTTGCAGAAAACTTTTAGCTTTAAGATTTAAAGAAGGAAAGTTTTATAAAAAGTCTTTTGGATTTCTTGATTTGCTAGTCTGGGTAATTAACTTAACATTAAGTGGATCAATCTAACACTAAATTTAACCTCAAGAAGGTGAACCAGAAGGTGAATCAATAAAGAAAATAGTATCCGGATCGGACACCTTAAGGTGTGGTTTCCTTGATTGGTCTTCTATGCTTTCGTGGCGGGGCATGCCACAAGATTAATGATGGCGTTAAGAGCGCCTAAACTTCTTCCACCGGCCACGCCAAGTCAGCCACCTACACAAGTCATGGATACATCCATACATCTATACTGTTTTTTTTCT